TAGTTGTTTTTTTATCGAAATGCCGCTTCCATAACTAAAGTCAAACGAAATTTGTCTTCAAAAAAGGAAATTATGAGTGAAATGGCATACAAAAAAAAAAAAAAAATAAAATAAAAGAACCTGTAAGTCTAGTTACTCCAAGTTAATTAAAAGTTTTCCGTTAAAACCAAGAACAACTATTACAAAAGCTATCACTAAAGCATTTTCTTTAGCACAAAAGGGTATAAAAAGATCTTTATCTGTATTTTGATAGATCGGTTTGTAGGGCAACTATATGTTACATGGTCCGATCTAAACCATATATTCAGAGCTTATAGCGTAGTCTCAAATAATAATGTAAGACAAATTTCGTGATGATGTCTTTTCAAATAAAGCAGTTTTTCTTATAGCGACTAAAGTTTTTATCGTTCAGCTTGTATGGCAGCTATATATAGTACTTTAGTGGTCAGATCTTAACAATATATTCCGAGATTGTAGCGTATCCTTGAATAATAATCTAATACAATTTTCATGATGGCATCTTGTCAAATAAAAATGTTTTCTTTACACGGACTAAATTTTAATTGATCAGTTCGTACGGCTATATGCCATAGTGGTCCGATCTGAACAATATATTCAGAGTTTGTAGCGTATCATTAAATAATAATCTGGGAAACATTTTGTGGTAATATTTTGTCAAATGACAAAGCTTTTCATATAACTAAATTTTGACCGATAAATTTGTATGACAGCTATATGCTAAAACGGTATGATTTGGAAAATGTATTCGGATATTGTAGCGTAGACTTGTATATGATATAAGACAAATTTCGTGAGAATATCTTTGTCAAATAAAAAAGCTTTCTACATAAGGACTATATTTTTAAGATGACGACATTTGTTTAAATTAAAAAAAAATTATAATAGTTTTTGTTGTGAGATATAAAAATTTTTAGTAATTACTTTGTTTTCAGTTTGTATATAGTATAAACCACAAAATCAGCGTCATATTTCACATTTTATTTTCTTTCTCAAATTAAATCCAAAACCAGTCGCGATTTTCTCAGTTTAGTTGACTAATTTGTGTGTGTGTGTGTGTATTATGAGTTAATACTTTTACCCGCTCCATGCAGTAGCAATAAAAACAGTTAGTTGATTATTTGTAAAAAACTCAGTATTTCCATTCTTTTTTTTATTATATTTGCAAATGCACAAAAAAAAAAAAAAAATCGGAAAATGTTCACATTAAACATCATAAAACACTTTCACATTTCATAATATTTAGCATAATTTGAATTCATATGTCTACATGTATGTATACATGCACTCTGCTTTGTTAGTAAATGTTTTTTAGTTGTTATTTGCTCAAATGTGTTTATGTATTTGTATATCGAATGCTTTGTTTGCGCAAAATAATTGAAAAAAAGAGGAGAAGGTGACAAAGTTGCTATGCAAAACGCAATCCAAACAAACTCCAGTGGCGTTTTTAACCCGGTTTTTGGCTTTTCAATTGAATTGTAAACATTTATGCGTTGCACAAGCACGGCATGGCGTTTTAATTATATCCTTTTGATATTGTTGTCTCTGTTAATTGTAGATATTTATGCATAAATCGACATTTAGAAATACAAATTACACTGCTACACACAAACATTATGGTACTTTATCAATTTAAATATATAGTATATGCATGTATAATTAATTATGTATAATTCCAGAAAATAAAGATACTTGTTAACAATATACAATATTTATAGGTTTTGTTTTTGCTTGCATGTTTGTCATTCTTTTTACTGTTATTTATTTTTATTTTATATTTTTTGTTTTTAATTTAGCATAATTATTATCTTTAAAGGTATTTTTTGTTGGTTTATACTTCATTATTCTAGCCTAGAACTAACAAAGAACACAAGTTCATTTAGCATTTAAGTATATATGTATGTAAGTAAGTATATATAAAGGTATGTTAGCGTAAGTAGATGTGAAAAGTTGACAAATTTCGAAGTAAAATGGTTTGAGCGTTTTTGAAAGTAGTTTGTTTGTGTCTAAGGGAAAGTGAGAGAGAGCGAGAAAATTCTTTGACATTTTTGGACGTTTTTACATAGGCAAAAAGGAGCGTGCATTCCTTCTCAACTAATTTAGTTATTTACATTATTATTATTATTATATAAATATATGTATATTTGTATGTATATATAATACATGTTTTAAGTGGAGAAACTTTATATATTTTTTAGGAGTTTTGGAGAACGAGCTAGAGGAATTGACATCGACGGAGATACTTGTATTTATGCTTAAAACTTTGCCACATTTCATTTATTTTGGTTGTGTGGCAACATTACTAATTGAACTCAATTGACATTGAAACATACAAGGAAACTTCATATTTTTCTTTATACACAAGTAATTGCCTTTGTTTTCGTTACACTTCCTAATTACAAGCTTTTAATTTTTGTTATTTATTTTATTTTATTTTTTTGTTTTTGGTTGCTTTGCTTTATTTGCGCTTAAGCACCCCCAGACACTCATTTGCTTAGCTAGATCACTTTTTGTTACAATGTTTTTGTTTTTGTCTTGTTTGTTATTTTCTTTTGTTTTGTTTTATTTCACATATATATCCCTATATGTGTGCATATTTGTCTTCGGTTATATTTTTATAAGCTTAATTTTCAAATTTGTTTTAAATATTTTTACATATTATTGAGATGTCATTGAAACCCATAAGATGTCGAAGATACTGCTTTATCTATACCAAAATCTCAATTTGCAAAATTATTGTAAAAAAAAAATTAATAAATTTAAAAATTGATTATTTTTAATTAGCATTGCTTGAAAATTGAAAAATAAAAATTTTGCGGAAATTACGTTTCCAAAACTGCATTAAAAATATTTCATTTTTATTTTTATTTTATTTAAGCACGACCTGTAAATAAACAACTATATACGAGTAAACTAAGGGAACTGGCTAAAAAAATTAAAATGTAATTGAACAATATTTACATTGACTTTTTTTATTTGTGACCCCGAAAATAATTTAAAATTTTGAATCTAAATACCTGATAGAGGAAAAAGAATTAATCTCAAGTCAAAAAAAGGAAAAAAAAACAAGTTTTTGAGGTACATTTTTTCTGAGCTTGCATGTTCTATCACAACTTTCTTCGATTCGCTACTTCTCTGCTCACTTCTGCTCTCTTGTCAAAAAATTACATGTAAAAGCAAGAACAAAGTTACCGAGTTCAATTCGTACAAGAGAGTATGGAGATGCTCTTCTAGTAAGGAAAACGGTTCTTTATTGAAAGAAGAAGTCTTGGTTAAGTTAACCAGAACTTAACTGGCAGGTGGTTGCTAACCAGACATTAAGAAAACGGTCGTAACCGCCATCTTGAACGCTACCAATTTTTTTTTTTCTTTTTTTTTTGACGGTGCTTAAATGTTCTTCGGCAATGGTTCCCTTCTGAAAGTCTAGAACTGACGGAGTACAAAACAGAAGTTTTGCTCAAGGGCATCAGGAATGTAGAAGAACGAATAGATCCCACCATAGGAGGATAGGATCCCACTAATAGAGGCGATAGCATGAGTTCAGGAGCGATGTTATTCCTCATTCAAAGAGCGTGGGACCCACCGACTTATACCGGACAGACGATCTGGATTTCCATCCGACCCAAATACTTAGTAGACATCGATGCTTTAGCTTCCACAATGACATTAGTTCGAACTGTCTAACATGTACAGGCTATATAGAAGACTCTGAACAAGTATTTTTTTTTGCCATCACTTTTCAAATACAAGGGAAAAACTAAAAACTACACTCGGCTCGGACTTAAATGTCCTGTCCCTGCCTCGAAGTAATACTTAGACGTTGGTTTCGTGGGAGAGTATTCAGTCTAGTCTAGTCAGTAGGTTATGTTTAGAAGACTAAAGTTCAGCACTCCAGCTTTTGATGCTTCCCCTGCTATAAAAACAAAAATAAATTACACAACTGCACATGCATTAGAAGCCATGTTAGCGCAGGATGGCACTACATGTACTGACTGTGACTACTTTGTTTGGGCATCTGGTCCAGTTTTCGCTTGGCGAATCGAAGACGGCTTACTTTGCTGCGATCTCAGTAATATCTCTCAAAATTATTTGTACAGTGTTTTATGGCTCTACAACCCAATTAAAAAGTACATTGTAGCAAAGAAAAAATAATTAGAATGTCCTTAATCATTAACTCTCCTCGCAAACGTCCATTAATCAGCCTAACTAATCCGTTATTTTAAATCATGCACCCCTCCTACAACTACAACCACTCTCTATACTATAAAAATACATACTTATACGAACAATGCACTGCAAAAAGTCGTCTTCCCTTTATATTTTATTATGCCATCGAATTTCGTTACTACTAAAATGGAAGATGCTGTCATTTGTCATTTGTCAATCCTAAAAGTATGATCAAACGCCAAAGTCATTTGCATGCGTTTAACGTTCTTACGCAAACACCTCCGCTTTGTGCGCACATGTATGTATGTATATGCCTATGTATGTGTATATTATTGTACAATCATCAATTATGTCGAACGGTAAGTCTGCACTAATGCTCGGACTACAGTTGCGGCTGTCTCAAAGTAAATATTTTCCCAATTCAGTTTTCGTTTATGCGTTCGCCATTAGTAAAAGTATCATTTCTATTTGCTTTTGTTGTTGTCACGTACATATGCAGCTTCAAGCAATATTGTATAATTATGTGTATGTGTGTGTGTAAATATCGCATGTCCA